GGTTTGGCAGACTCCTTTCTCAGGGGTATGTTTATTTGGGCCAGTGGTTCTCAAGCCCACTTTGCAGATACCTTAAGGGTAGTTGTAATAACAAAAGGAAACAAATGTTTCGTCTTACTTTCCATTATCTGTATCTCAGGTATTCTTCCAGAGATACTTTAGCCACGTGTAAGGCAATACACTTACATACAATGTCATGCGTAAAACACATGACATTTTGAATCCTGCCTTTTTTATTAAAATTTCAAATGTATTTAGAATTAAAGTATACTAAACTCCACATAGTCACCCAGTTTCAACAATTACAAATTCATGGCCAATCCTCCTCCTTCTTTACCATACTAACTGTCCATCACCCCCTAGTTTGACCTACTTAGCTGGGCTGAGGGTGAGGCAAGCAAGGTACTTAGGCACAATTGAAGGAGGCACTCACTTTTCAAAGCTTGTATTTGTACATGTGATTGTGATTCCTACAATTATGCTAAATCCTTAGGCTTGCCTTATCTGAGATGTGGTCCTGCTGGCTCCCCTGAGTTATTTTGAAGTAAATCTCAAGCACCTTATACCTTCCTTTTTTTTCATCATGTATATTGGATATCATTTCATATCGTGGCACAGAGAACTTTAATCTTAATAACAGTTGCATAGAATTACACCCTATGAAGATGCAGTAATTTATAGTAGTCCCTATTGATAGACATTTAGGTTGCTTCCCATCTGGGTATTTTAAACAATGTTGTGATGATTACATTATACCACACATGTAAGTTTGTATGGAGGATAAGTACCTAGAAATAGAGCTTAATAATTTACAGTACCACTATTTTTTAATCATTGCCAAACTAATAAGGGAAATAGCACTTCAGTGTAGTTTGGTTTGCTTTTCTTTCTTTTCTTTTATGACAGACATTCTGACTGTAACCTTTCTCTTATGAGTGAAGCTGGGCGTCTTTTCATGTTTAAAGAACTTTCCTATTTCCTTTGCTACAAACTGATTGCTCACATCCATTGCCAATTTTAATTTTGGGTTTTTTTTTTGTTTTTTGTTTTTTTTTTTGAGATGGAGTCTCGCTCTGTCACCCGGGCTGGAGTGCAGTGGTGCGATCTCCACTCACTGCAACCTCCGCCTCCTGGGTTCAAGCAATTCTCCTGCCTCAGCCTCCTGAGTAGCTGGGATTACAGGTGCCCGCCACTATGCCCAGTTAATTTTTGTATTTTTAGTAGAGATGGGGTTTCGCCATGTTGGCCAGGCTGGTCTTGAACTCCTGACCTCAGGTAATCCGCCGGTCTCAGCCTCCCAAAGTGCTGGGATTACAAGAGTGAGCTACAGTGCCCGGCCCAGGCGTGGCTTTTAAAAGTGCTGGTAGAGCGGCCGGGTGCGGTAGTTCACACCTGTAATCCCAGCACTTTGGGAGGCCAAGGCAGGTGGATCAAGAGGTCAGGCGATCAAGACCATCCTGGCCAACATGGTGAAACCCCGTCTCTACTAAAAATACAAAAATCAGCTAGACGTGGTGGTGCGTACCTGTAATCCCAACTACGGGAGGCTGAGACAGGAGAATCGCTTGAAGCCAGGAATCGGAGGTTGCAGCGAGCCAAGATTGCACCACTGCACTCCACCCTGGTGACAGAGTGAGACTCCATCTCAAAAAAAAAAAAGAAAAAAAAGTGCTGGTAGCTTCAGCCTTGGTTTGCTAGACCCCTAATCCCCCATATAAGAAAGCATACTACCCTTCTAGAGAAACCATGTGGTGAGAGCTGAGACTACATAGAGATAGGGACCCAGCTAAGGCCAGTTTTCCAAAGATACACACCAAAGCCATAGATGTGTCTTGTGGAGCAGAAGAATCACCCAGCTGAGAACCTGCCCAAATTCCTGACCAATGAAGTCATGAATTATAACAAAATGGTGGTTGTTTTAAGCTACTAAGTTTTGGAATATTTCTTACACATCATTAAAGAACCAGAATAGCATTCTTTTTCAGGAACTCTACATATTAGTAAAATTAGTCATTTTTCAGATGTAATGCAAACATATTTTTCCCAGATGTTTTGGCTTTGTTTTCACTTTTTAGTCACGCAAAATTTTATTTTTATGTACTTGCATTTATCATTCCTTTTTTCCCCAAAAACCAGCTAGAGCATACAATTGAGGAAAAGATACAATTTTTAAGAACAAGAGAGATGAAATATCTAAGGTTGAACTTAAGAAATCACAAGGTCTATATGAAGAAAACCAAAAACTTTTGAAAGATTCAAAGGAAAGTTTGAACAAATAAGAAGACATCATGTACTTGGATTTAAAAAAGTAATCCTGGCCGGGTTCAGCTAACACGTGTAATCCTAGCACTTTGGGAGGCCGAGGCAAGATCACTTGAGGCCGGGAGTTCAAGACTAGCCTGGCCAACATGGCAGAACCCTGTCTCTACTAAAAATACAAAAAGTTAGCCAGGTGTGGTGGTGCATACCTGTGGTCCGAGCTATTCCAGAGACTGAGGTGGGAGGATCGCTTGAGCCCTGGTGGGGAAGTTGCAGTGAGCCGAGATTGCACCACTGCGTGTCAGCCTGTGCCACATCAGAAGATCCTGTCTAAAAGAAAAGGGGGGGAGGGTAGTGGGGAAAAATAAACATACTGTCTTGAAGTCAGACAACGTGACACTCTATTGGGTTTGGATGGGGGAATATTTTTTAAAGACTGGGTCTCACTATGTTGCCCAGGCTGGACTGTAGTGGCTATTTATAGGTGCCATTACAGCTCACTGCACTCTTGAACTCCTAGGCTCAAGCAGTCCTACTACCTCAGCCTCCCCTAGTACTTGGGAACACAGGCCATGCCACCAAACCCAGCTAGGCAATCTTTTTTTTTTTCTTTTTGACAGGGCCTGGCTCTGTTGCTCAGGCTGGAGTGCAGTGGCATGATCTCTGCTCACTGCAACCTCTGCCTCCTGGGTTCAAGAGATTCTCCTACGTCAGCCTCCAGAGTAGCTGGGATTACAAGCACGCACCATCAGGCTTGGCTAATTTTAAAATGTTTTTGTAGAGCCAAGGTCTGATTATGTTGCTCAGGCTGGTGTTGAACTCCTGGGCTCAAACAAGCCTCCTGCCTCTGCCTCTCAAAATGCTGGGATTACAGGCATGAGCTAGCGCACCCGGCTGAATTTTTTTTTTTTTTTTTTTTAGTAGAGACAGGGTTTCGCCAGGTTGGCCAAGCTGGTCTCGAACTCCTGACCTCGGGTGATCCACCTGCCTCAGCCTCCCAAAGTGCTGGGATTTACAGGCATGAGCCACTGTGCCCAGCCCCGGCTGAAATTTTTTAAAGGAAATAGTTATCCCAAGCATTTGCTAGCTTTGTGTAGTTTATTTATTCTTATTTATTTTTTTGAGACAGAGTCTCGCTCTGTCACCAAGGCTGGAGTGCAGTGGCATGATCTCGGCTCACTGCAACCTCTGCCTCCCGGCGATTTGCAGACAGCGATTCTCCTGTCTCAGTCTCCCACAGTAGCTGGGATTACAGGCGTGTGCTACCATGCATGGCTAATTTTTGTATTTTTAGTAGAGACAAGGTTTCACCATGTTGCCCAGGCTGGTCTCGAACTCCCGACCTCAGATGACCCACCTGCCTCGGCCTCCCAAAATGCTGGGATTACATGCATGAGCCTGGCCGCTTTGTGTAGTTTAAAAATCACTTTCAACTCAAACCCTTTCTGAGGTCGTCATTACTATTATCCCCACTAAACAGAAGCCCTCAGAAAAGCTAATTTTGATTCTGCCATTTGCCCTAATCCGTGTTCCCTTAAGGCAAGTCCTTTCAAAAGTCTAAACTTCAGTTTCCTCTTCTATAACGTGTATGCCAATTAAATGAACTCTCTGCCAGGCCACAAGCCATGACACAATGGAAAGGTAGTTGGGCTTTGGGGTCAGGCACAACTACGAATTCCAGCTCTTCCACTTAGTAGCTGTGTTATTCAGGGAAGGACATGTTCTGACACTGGCTGACGCCTAACTGTGTGCACACATAGACAATTCTTTCATTGAATCTTCAACCCCCTGAGTAAAGTTAATCTTTACTTTAATCTCCGTTTTGAAAACTAAGCCAAGACACGGTGAGGCTGAGTAATTTATCCTTTGTCACCCAACTCTAAAAGAGCTGGATTTGCGCCCAGCATGTAGATTTCAGCGTCTTCATGGTAGATCGCCACCCTCAGTTGCCACCTGAACAGTAAACTTGCTCCACGAAGTGGCTGAGCTGAATCCGTAACTGGAGCGAACCAGCCGTCTGGCTTTGGAATGCAGACCGCCCCTGGCCGACTGCCAGAGGCGGGAGGCCTGAAGTTTGGGCTTCTTGCCGCCCTACCCTGTCCACCACAACGCTGTTATCAAGCCTAAACTTTTAGGAAAGGCACGAAATTAACTCACTTTACACACAGAGATACACAGTGGGACGATTTTGGCTTTTTAAGCTAACTCAGAAAATGGAGATACGGGCTGGGCGCAGTGTCTCACGCCTGTAATCCCAGCACTTTGGGAGGCCGAGGCGGGCGAATCTTGAGGTCAGGAGATCGAGACCATCCTGGCCAACATGGTGAAACCCCGTCTCTACCAGCAATACAAAAAATTAGTAGGACGTGGTGGCACGCGCCTGTAGTCCCACCTACTCGGGAGGCTGAGGCAGGAGAATCGCTTGAACCCGGGAGGCAGAGGTTGCAGTGAGCTGAGATCGCGCCACTGCACTCTAGCCTGGGCGAGAGAGCGAGACTTCGCCTCAAAAAAAAAAAAAAGAAAAGAAAAGAAATTGGAGACATGGCAACCGAAGGCACCTCCTCCCGCCTGCCTCCAGGTGGCGCTTTAGGACCGGTCCACCTTCCACAGCGCAGACGCCTCAGTTTGGCCTCCCTCGGAGGCCGTGCAGCAGAGAAACATGACTTCGTGGCTAGAGGGGCATTTCCTAGGAGACGCCCATGTCGTCGCGTAACCTTCACATACTTCCGCCTCCGGTTCTTTATTCCGGAAATTGCTCTCAGAGGCAGCGTGAGGTTGTGCTCTTTGTGAAATTTCACCATGGCGTACCGTGGCCAGGGCCAGAAAGTGCAGAAGGTTATGGTGCAGCCCATCGTATCCTACGCAGGATGTCAGGACTGGGAGGTTCGGGCCAGAATACGGGGTGCGAAGGCGCAGACTGAGAGCAGGCCTGGGGTAGCGGAGTACGAATCCACATCCCATGAGCCCCCGGGGCGACCAAGACTGGAAGAAAGCGCGGGTAGTTGAAGAACCGTGATGGTGGGGAGGTGGTCTTGGGTGGACCCCTGCTGTGGGGCAATGCAGGAATGGAGGCGGCGAAAGGAGGGAAGAGAACTTTAGGTGCGGAGTGAAAATGGGAGTTAAAGGTTTCGGGAAACTCCAGGGGAATGAAAGTAGAAGGGATGTTCTTTAATCTTTAGAAGACCCCTAATGAATGCCCAGCTGGGTACTTTTTGTTTGCGTAAGCACCAGACCTCGCGTTCAGTATACCAAGGTGAGACGGAAACAGGGTCGTCCAGTTGTTTCAGGAAGCAGAGTCTATGCTGCTTTTGTATTTTTTCCTTAGCCACTGTGGTGCAGAACCTCATCTTCAGATACTTACAAAATGTACGTAAGTTGCTTGTTTCGTAACTATTTTTTAAATAGATGAACTGATTTAGTTTTTTGTGTTAACCTGAGTGATCGCTGTGTTCTAGAATTTAAAAATAGATGTAACTGGAGATTGAAGGGTAATCGAGGGGAAGGAGTACTGAGAAAGCACTAATGTGGTGAAGTGGTGTGTATCCATGCCACTTCCCAACATGCAAAGAATTGTATTATTACTTTGCAAGATCAAAAATACTTTTTAATTCCAAAAAGTATTATCAGCAGACTTGAGCATGGTATTTGGGCATCAGTAGTTTTGTTAGTAGTGATTATGCCTAGAACGTTGGAACCTCTCCCCTTTAAGATGAAACACATTGGAAGAAAAACCCAACCAACTTAAACCATGTCAAGAGGTGGTGTGTTTAATATCTGTTGGAAAACTTAAAGACGGGAAAAGAAAGAAGGGGTAGCTTCAGAGGAATTTGGTGGCAGCTGCTTTCCTTTGGGGGGAACTTTAGCAACTTAAATTTTATAGTGTGACAACACAACTGAAAAACATTAATTTCAGGTGATAATAATTTTTAACCACCTGAATTGAGGGCGCCTGTCCTGGTTGTTAGGTGTGTGACATGAGAAAGCTTTGTTTTGGAACTGGATTTTGCTGCAAGATATAAGCCCTTGGTCATTAGAAATTGCTGCTTTGTGCTATGCTGTCAAAAACTTTCACTCTTAAATAGATTGAAACCAGAAGCAGTAAGAAATGTTGAGTCCCAAGATCACAGGAAAATTATTAGGTTATATAGTTCCAATATAGAACTTATTAAATGAAAATTCTCTTTGAGATTATTATTACTAGTGAATAATTCTTAGATATGGGCTAATTAGTTAAAACTCTTGACTTACATTCATTACAGTTTTTTTTGGGAGCCATATTTCTCTTGTCGTTTGACCAAAATGGTTAGGTTTTGTGTACTTCAATTTTGGGAGGGGGGCGGGGGAGGGGGCAAGATCTTGCTTAATGTTGCACAGGCTAATCTTGAACACCTGGCCACAAAGCGAATTATTCTGCTTTGGCATCCCAAAGTACTGGAATTACAGGTGTGAATCGAGGCAGCTGGCCTGTTTTTCTTTTTCTTTTTTTTCTTTTCTTTTTTTTTTAAGACGGAGTCTCACTCTGTCCCCCAGGCTGAAGTGTAGTGGCTCAATCTCGGCTCACTGCAGTTTCCGCCTCCCGGGTTCAAGTGATTCCCCTGCTTCAGCCTCCTGATAACTGGTACTACAGGCGTGTGCTACCACGCCCAGCTAATTTTTTTTGTATTTTTAGTAGAGATGGGGCTTCACCATGTTAGCCAGGATGCTCTCTATCTCTTGACCTTGTGATCCACCTGCCTGGGCCTCCCCAAGTGCTGGAATTACAGGCATGAGTCGCTGCGCCCGGCCCCATTTTTCTTTTTTTAACGTTTCCACTTTTATGATTATTTCAGAGATCGCGGATTCAGGTGTGGCTCTATGAGCAAGTGAATATGCGGATAGAAGGCTGTATCATTGTGAGTATCCAGGCAATTTTATCTCATAGCAGTTTGGTCATAGAAAAAGATTTCTCAGAAAGTGGCTAGCCAGAACAGTGTATAAAAAGTGAAAGATCCAACCTGAGCAAAGTTTTTTGGGGGCCGCTATTTAGCCTTTTTTCATTGTTGATAGGTAAGGATTGGGTAATTTTTAATAGACAGGGAAAATTAAGTTTTAATGCATTTTCTTTCCTCTGTCTGTGTTGAGAAGAAAATTTGTATTTTATTTTTGAGAAAGGGCCTTGTTCTGTTGCTTAGGCTGGAGTGCAGTGGCACAGTCATGGCTCGTTGTGGCCTCAACCTCCTGGGCTCAAGCAGTCCTCCTGCCTCAGCCTTCCAAGTAGCTAGGACCAAAAGTGTGCACCATCACAGCCTGCTAAATTTTTATTTTTTATAGAGACGAGGTCTCACATTGTTGTCCAGGCTGGTCTCCTGGGCTCAGGTGATTCTCCCACCTCAGCCTCTCAAAGTCTTGGGATTACAGGCATGAGCCACGATGCCTGGCTGAAAATTAACTTTTAAAAATTATTTGAAAAAAAAATATTTGAGCAACGATGTTAGTATGGAGAGAGGAGACAAAAGAAAGGAAATTAGGAAGGGTGGGGACTAATGGAATTGTTTGTTGTGGGTTAGGTGATACCTGAATAGAGCTCAGTGGGGTTAAATAGGGATAGCAGGCTACCCTAAGTAATTTTTTTTTTTTAAGTTGGGATCTTGCTTTGTCACCCAGGTGCTGTCAGAGCTCACTACAATCTTGAACTCCTTGGCTCAAGTGATTCTTCCACCTCAGCCTCTAGTAGCTGGGACTATAGGCATGCACCACCATGTCCAGCTAATTTTTAAATATTTTGCTGGGCACGGTGGCTCACGTCTGTAATCCTAGCACTTTGAGAGGCCGAGCATGATGAATCACTTTAGCTCCGGAGTTCGAGACCAGCCTGGGCAACATGATGAAACCCTGTTTCTACCAGAAATACAGAAAGTAGCCAGGCACGGTGGTGCGCCCTGTAGTCCCAGTTACTTGGTGGGGCTGAGGCAGCAGTATTGCTTGAACCCAGGAGGTCGAGCTGCAGTGAGCCGAGGTCACACCACTGCATTCTAGCCTGGGAGACAAAGTGAGATCCTTTCTCAAAAAAAAGAAAAAAGACTTTGGGTGGAAGGTGGAGTGCGGGGCTTGAGATGAGTGAATCTTTGAAGTTAGTTGGATTTTGTATCTGCATAGGTATACACATTTAAAATGGGTTGGATGTGATTTTCTTTGACGATGACAGTTTGTTTATTTTTCTAGGGTTTTGATGAATATATGAACCTTGTATTAGATGATGCAGAAGAGATTCATTCTAAAACAAAGTCAAGAAAACAACTGGGTAAGGATATAAGTGGTCTTACAGAATCGTAGAAATGTTTTGTTCACTTGCAGAATTCAGTGACCTGCAACTCAGTTCATGTTTGATTTTACTTTGCATTTGAGAAGTTATTCAGAGTAGTAGTACACTTTTGAAATTATTCTCTACCACTCACTTCTCACCACACTCCATTTTGGCTTCTCTGCCCAGAGAGCTCTCACCAAGGGAACCAAAGACTAGTGGTGTTAAATCTAATGATCAGTACTAATCCTCATTTTAATTAAACTCTCAACAGCATTTGGCACCATTGGCCACTCCCTCCTTAAAGCGCTTTGTTCCCTTGTCTGAGTAGGGGGGAAAACCCAAGTAGATTTTTCTATTTCCTCAGTTGACAATAATTAACACAGAAGACTTCTGTGACCAGATGTGTGGGCGTATTTCCCCACACACCAAGCAAGCAGTCAGTTCGGCAGTGGACGTCAGCTTGGAGTCGTCAAGTTCAGTTCAGTTCTAACACTATCTACCTGGAGATAGTGTCAGTTCCCAGAGGTTGAGGGCTCAATCCCCAAGATTGCCTTCCCTGCCCCTCGATGCTCCACCAGATGCCAATTGTCAGCTCCAGATTGTTTTACCTGTCCTTCTTACTGACTGGCTGTAAACTGGGTCCCATAATTCCTCCTTTGGTTTAATTAATTTGCTAGAGCAGCTCACAGAACTCAGGGAAACACTTATATTTACTGGTTTATTATAAAGGATATTACAAAGAATACAGATGAAGAGATGCACAGGGCAAGGCATATAGGAAGGGATGCGAAGCTTTTGTGCCCTCTACAAGCTCACTGCTCTCTGGGAACCTCCATGTGTTGAGCTGTCAGAAACCCATTGTTTTCAGTTTTTATGTAAGCTTCATTATGTAGGCCTGACTGAATAAATTGGCTATTGGTGATCAGCTTAACCTTCAGCTCCTCTTCTCCTCCCTGGGTTGGAGGGTGGGGCTGAAAGTTTGACCTCCCTAATGCCTTGGTCCTTTCAGTGAGCAGCTCCAATGCTGAAACTTTGCAGGGGCTGCTGGTGGTCAGTCAATCATTAGCATACAAAAAGGCAACACCTTAGAGATTCTGAGGATTTTAGGAGTTGTATGGGATTGAAGACCAAATAAATATTTTGCAGTATCGCACCTTGGCTCTACGATATTATACTTGGGTTTTAATTTTTCTTTTCTGGCTATTTTTCAGACTTGTATGTTCATTCTTTGGGACCCAGTCACTAAATGAGTTGCTCCAGGCTTGGTTCTAGGCCCTCCTGTCATTCAGTATTGTCTGCCTAGGCACTGGAGTACAGCTTCAATTACCATCTATGTATATTGACTCCCAAATTTGGGACTCCCAAGTCTGGGCCTATTCACCATTTCTACTTGAATGTTTCAAAGGCTTCTTAAAGTCAGCATATCAGAAAGCAAACTCAATTCCAACTCACACTGTTTAGAGCTATTGTATTATTATTTCCCGCCTTATTGAATGGCACCAGTTTCCAATTCAGCTTACTAATTGATTTCTCTGCAGCTACCTCCAGTTTGCTTTCCAGGCCTCAGTCATCTTTTAAAAACACCAATCTGAACATGTCATCCCTTTGCTTGAAATTCTTCAGTGACTTCCTGTTGCTCTTAGGATAAAAAAAATCTAATGATTCTGCAAATCTAATGATCTTTATGATCTAGTCTTATCTCCCTCTGCTCATCTCATATCACTGTGCCTTACTTTCTGAGCTTTAGCAACACGTGTCTTATTTCAGTTCTTTGAGTCTGTGCATTTGCCCAACCATTAATCTTTGTATATGATATTCCTTGTGTCTTTAGAGCTCAGATCAAATATCAATTCTCTTAAGACAGTGGTCCCCAACCGTTTTGGCACCAGAGACCAGTTTTGTGGAAGACAGTTTTTCTATGGACCGGAGTGTGGGGGATGGTTTTCGGATGATTCAAGCACATTACATTTATGGTGCACTTTATTTCTATTATTATTACATTGTAATATTTAATAAAATAATGATACAACTCACCATCATGTAGAATCAGTGTGAACCCTGAGCTTATTTTCCCACAACTAGACAGTCCCATCTGGGGGTGATGGGAGACAGTGACAGATCATCAGGCATTAGGTTCTCATAAGGAGTGCGCAACCTAGATCCCTCTATGCCCTGTTCACAATAGGTTTCATGCTCCTATGAGAATCTAAGGCCTCCGCTGATCTGACAGGAGGCAGAGCCCAGGCAGGAATACTAGTGATGTGGAGTGACTGTAAATACAGATGAAGCTCTGCCACCTTGCCCACTGCTCACTTGCTGTGTGACCTGGTTTCTAACAGGGACCAGGACTGGTACTGGTCTGTGGCCCAGGGGTTAGGAAGCCCTGTTCTAAAAAGTTCAGAGTTTAATTTGATTTTGCTGGGGATGGGGGAGGCGGGGTTATGTGCTCCCTGAGTTTGTAGTAAAACATTTATTATTGAAATTATTTTATTAATGTCTCTCCTGTTATGAGATGCTTCACCATAAGTGCATGAATCATGCCTTTTTTGATCCCTAGTGTGCTCAGTACCTAACTCAATGCCTGGCGCATAATAGAAACTAAAAAATACTTATATAATGAATGGTATTTCTTTCTTTTGTTTTTGGAGACGGAGTCTCACTCTGTTGCCCAGGCTGGAATGTAATGACGCGATCTTGGCTCACTGCAACCTCCGCCTCCTGGGTTTAAGCAATTCTGCTGCCTCAGACTCCCGAGTAGCTGGGGCTACAGGCGTGCACCACCGCGCCTGGCTGATTTTTTGTGTTTTAGTAGAGATGGGGTTTCACTGTGTTGCCCAGGCTGGTCTCTAACTTCTGAGCTCAGGCAGTCCACCTGCCTTGGCCTCCCAAATGCTGGGATTATATGTGTGAGCCACTAAGCCTGGCAATGAACGGTATTTCTTAACCCAGTTAATGAATGGTCTTAGTATTCACGGTTTCAAGACACACTGAATCATTTCTATTAACATCCCATTCACTTGAGGTTTATTTAGGCATTTTGTCTTCATTTGTTAAATGCTCACTAATACTTTTATCAGTGGTGGGTTTCAGGTGTCTCTCAGACCCTCGGGATTCTCATGAACCTATACTAGATATGTGGAAAGTAGATTCTGAGAAGCAGTATGGTGTTTCGCTAGCTTCTTCCTGCTTACACTATTTTTATGAAAACCTGGGTTTTTTAGATTTATTTATTTTTTTTTTTTGGAGACGGAGTCTTGCTTTGTCTCCCAGGCTTGAGTGCCATGGCACAATCTCAGCTCACTACAACCTCCACCTCATGGGTTCAAGTGATTCTCCTGCCGCAGCCTCCTAAGTAACTGGGATTACAGGTGCATGCCGCCACACTTGGCTGATTTTTTATATTTTAGTAGAAGACCGGGTTTCACCGTGTTGTCCAGGCTGGTCTCAAACTCCTAAGCTCAGGCATTCCGCCCACCTTGGCCTCCCAAAGTGCTGGGATTATAGGCATGAGCCACCATACCCAGCTGGATTTTTCAGATTTTAAGATGTCTTGCCAGGAAGGGAAGGCTTAGCCTCACCGAGGTCATATTATTTATAAATTATTTACCAACTGTTGAATTCTCATGGTAGTATTCATCCTGTAGAATAGAATATTATTAATACCTGCAGAAGCCTGGGAAAGTAGAACAGTTTAATTGCTGTTGGAGTTGATCAACATGTCTCAAACTGTTCTGCCAGTGAACACCAGTGTTCCTGAAGATGTTTATAGATTTCTTAGAAAAGTATCGTCTTAAATAACCTTAGGAAAGTTTGGGTAGAACTTAAACAGGTTTGTTTATTGTAGGGTGGAGTTTTGTTTTGTTTTTTTTTTTTTGAGACAGAGTTTTGCTCTTGTTGCCCAGGCTGGCGTGCAATGGTGCGATCTCAGCTCACTGCAACCACCGCCTCCCAGGTTCAAGCGATTCTCCTGCCTCAGCCTCGCAAGTAGCTGGGATTACAGGCACACGGCACCACGCCCAACTAATTTTGTATTTTTAGTAGAGATAGGGTGGAGTCTTTAATATACTAACAACTTTAAGAATGGAGTTATAATATGCTATATTTCCCAAACTTGACATACGACTCATTTCCAAACTTTTACAAACTCAGCATTGGGAAATGTTGTATGAGGCCTATTGAGTTGACTTAGTTCATAGAAATGATGCTTGTCATGAAATATCATCTACCTTTGTTAGTTTGTAGAAAAGGTAAATGTATTCTAATGGAGCCAGAAAGCATTTCACTATATGGACACTTGAAAATGTTTACGTGTTTTTATAAGAAAGCATTTTCAAAATGTTGTTCAAAAACTGGATACAAAATTCTGAGAGTAAAACATCTGAGTGTGTGGCTATTAACAGCCTTTTGTTGTTTTTGTGTTGCAGGTCGGATCATGCTGAAAGGAGATAATATTACTCTGCTACAAAGTGTCTCCAACTAGAAATGATCAATGAAGGGAGAAATTGTTGAGAAGAATACAGTTTGTTTTTAGATGTCCTTTGTCTAATATGAACATTTATTCATATTGTTTTGATTACCCTTGTGTTATACAAGATGGCAATAAATGCTGTGGGATTGTTTGTATTTAAAAATTTACATTGCTTCTTCCTATTCATCAGTAGAGACTTTTTACACACTAACACCGTTTGTTGTTGGTATTTACTTTAGTTTTCTGAAGGGTGGCAGTTGCCTTGAGCACTTGGTATTCGCAGAGCTTGGACCTGTAGATTTTGAGGCAGATTAGGAATTCTGCCTGACAGGTAAGCTTCCAGTATTGGGAGGTGGAGAAGGGGAGGGTTCACAAAAATAAATTGGGGTTATTGCACTAATAAATGTCTTCATCACTTCTGGTTCTGGATGCTGGAATACCAGAGTTTCTAACCTAAATAGGTTGGGTACGTTATTTAATTGGGTCAGTATTGCTCAACACTGTAACTGAGTCACTGTGAGGTCTTTGTGAATTTTATCACTAAGATCAGAATGTGAGAAGTATTTGGGTATAGGCAAAGAATGAAGTGCCTTTCAAGTACTTTAAAAATGAGTTAAGAGTTTACAGGAAAGAGACTGAGATTGGTAATCTGAAAAGGACCACAAGCACAGCTGGTAGGTAAATTGTTAGGCAGAATAATGGTATATTAGAGAAACACACCTGTCTCTTATTCTTATCTCTTAAGAATTTTGGTTCTTCCCCCAGTGATTTCTGGTTGAATTCTTATGTGGGCAGGTTTCCCTTCCCCCAATATTGCACATGGTTCTAGTTAGAATTCTGTTAGATAGATAGTGAGCATATGCTGTTAGCTAGACACAGTGTTGAATCAGTACAGTGAAACAGACTGGTAAACAGATAGTTTTAATGCCTCATCCTAAGTACTATTTAAATTGGATCTTGAAAGGTGAATAAGGCCTGCCTTAAGTTCTGCTAAAGGCAATGCTGTTATTAAGGATGGATGAGGAAGGACCAAGAAGTCTGGCTCCTACTTTTCTACATGCCTGTGAAGGAGACTGTAGTTTCAGTTCATGAAACTGAATAAAAGAAATCCTTTCTGAGATAAAGGAGATTTGTAGGTGAATGCAGAAGTGTATACAACTTTGAACCGTGCATTCCATCTATATTCCTCCTGTCTGAACTCATGCTCTTTCGATTATATTTTGAAATAAAGGGCTGCATTAGTTCTTTTAACGTTTGAGTTTGAAATTAATTAAACTGATCACAACATGCAAAGAAAACATTGGGCAGCAGAGGGAGTTACAGCCCTGAGACTGCTTCAGCCCTGCTGGTGAAAAGATTGAGTTGAAGCTTTTTCAGAGCAGAGCAAAGACCTCCCTGCAGCCTTCTTGGCACCAGAATAGCTGGGAAGAAGGATAAAAGCCCAGAGGAGTATAATCTCTAAGAAAACCTGCTGGCTGCCTTTTCCATTTCCCTGTGTGGCCTTTCTGACTTGGCTGCCCTGTGGAAGCAGAGCTGTGCCTGCTGTGGCTTATTCTGAATGGATCAAGACATGGAAGGTTCTATTTTTGACAGAGCAAATGATGATAGTGAGAATTAAGGTACAGCGAACTCTTACAATTGAAGTCTGTATTTAGAAATCCCTGCTTGCTTTCCTGCTCTACTGGAGCCTGTGGTGTTTGCTTTTTAAGTTGTACTTTTCCGCCATCTCTAGATCGTTTCTTCCAACCAGAATTTACGGGAGGCGTTGCTCTCTGCCTCATTAAGGTTACTAAAACATCCTGCTGGGAAGCTGCTCTTGTTGGCAGCCCTGGGTTATGTCAGCTTTTCTAGAACGGCTGTTGGTTGCTGAGGGGGTCGTGATAGACACCCCTCACCCTCATAGCATTCTTGAAGTGGGGGTGGGAGGAATAGAGAATCAGGCTCTGAAAGAAAAGTGCTGATGTGGGCCTGGTGGTCAATTAGTAGCAGGTAGGGAGAAGGAAAAGTTTGAAAATAATAGGATATTGTGCTTTGGGTTACCAACTCTCGTCATATCACACTTGTCAACAGTTTCAGGATTAGAGAGTGTACTTCTAATTTGGATTAAGGCATTATGGGCCGGAAAGTGTCATGGTGGGGTAAGTAAGTCTAGTAGCATCTCAGGTTAACTGGGTAACACAGGCATTTTCCTTAACTATCTACTGATGCATGCTTTTGTGAGGAAATGCTTGTTTGAACTTTATTGTTGAGACAGAGTCTTGCTCTGTTGCCCAGGCTGGAGTGCAGTGCCACAATCATAGTTGACTGTGATCTTGACCTCTTGGACTCAAGCGATTCTCCCACTTCAGCCCCCTGAGTAGCTGGGACCACAGGCACACACCACCAAGCCTAGCAATTTTTTTTTTTAAATGGCAGAGGTAGTTAAGGCTTTATTTTGGAAAAAAACAAAAACAAAAACAAATTGTTTTATAGCTGGAGTCATGGGCCAGGGGGGTACCCCAGGCAATAAACTCCATGACTGGGTTGAGGGCTAGGACTGAGCCTCACTTAGGCGAGGCTATGTTCACTCCTATTTCCTATGCTCCCTTGCACAGTGGCCTCTTCCACTGGCTCTGGGGCATCCACAGGAAGGGATGGGCTGGGAGGGGCTGCCATGGCCATTTACTTGGACAGGACATCAGAGGACTCGGACACCAGCTTCCCATCTTGCATCTCTATTTTCTTCACAACCACAGCACTGGAGGAACCCTGGAGAAGCTGGTGCGGCTAGAGGAGCTAGAGCCCCTGCCAGAGTCAAAGCTGGAACCTAGCCATAGCTGAGGCCAGGGCTTGTGAGGCCCCATAGGCCAAGCTCAGTGTACCTGAGTAGCCACTGGTGGTCTTTATATATATACTTATGTTCTACATCCCAGACTCCAGCCTGCTCTTGTTGCCCTCCAGCAGCTTCATGTAGGTGGCAGCCTCTGTGTCCGGGGCCAGCTTGACATTCCTCATCTCCTGGTACGCCAGCTTGGGGGGCGGTATCTTTTAAAAAAAAAAAAATTAGTTTTAAATATTTATTTTTTTGAGACTGGGTTATAAGACTAGTTAATTTTTGTATTTTTGGTAGAGAGGGGACTTCGCTATGTTGCCCAGGCTGGTCTGAAACTCCTGGCCTCAATCAATCTATCTGCCTTGGCCTCCCAAAGTACTGGGATTAACAGATGTGAGCCACTGCACCCAGCTGCATTGCTGTCCTTAATGGAGGCTCCCCATGATGCTTGGCGTTCATGATGGCAGCCTCCAGGGAAGTCTTCTGGCCTTTGAGGCTTTCAGTCTCAGCCTGGAGCCGGCTGATATTCTGGTTCATCTCCGAGATTTTCGTCTTTGTGCGACACATCATTCTCATGCTTCCCAGCCAGTGTCTGCAGTTCCTCGTACTTGATCTGGTATATGTTTTCGGCCTCCGCCCAACTGCGGTTGACAATCTTGTACTGGTCCTTGACCTCAGTGATGATGCTGTCTGTGTCCAGGGAGCGGCTGTTGTCCATAGACAGAACCACAGATGTGTCCAAGATCTGGGACTGCAGCTCCTGGATCTCCTCTTCATACAGCTGCCTGATGAAGTTGATCTCATCAGTCAGCCCTTCCATGCAAGACTCCAGCTCTACATTGTTCATGTAAGCTTTATCCATAAACTTCTTGAAGACAAATTCATTGTCCATCTCTGTACACTTACTGATCTCATCCTTATGCTTATTCTTGAAGTCCTCCAGCAGCCCCTCCATGTTGCCAAGCTCTGCCTCCAGCTTCAGCTGCTCCTGGCCCAGAATGTACAGCTGCTGCTGAAGGTTGTTGATACAGCTCTCGAGCATGTTGTCCGTGTTGCTCCACGCTGTCTTCTGCTGCTGCTGGAGACTACACTTGCTCTCCAGCCTCTTGTTCTGCTGCTCCAGGAGCTGTATCGTGTCAGTGATGGAGGCAGACTTACTGATAAGGGTCTTGATCTGCTCTTTCTCCTGGGTACACATGGCCTGGGTGTTGGGTTACACCTCCAGCTTGAGGGGGCTCAGCAGGCTCTGGTTCACCATGATGGCTGTGATGCTCCCCATTACCACTGGCCCCACTATAGCCTCCACTCAGACCCGGGCCGGCACCCAGACCACCCCAGAAGCACTGCTGCTACCCACTCGGGAGAGCCTTGAGGAGCTAATGCGGGCACTGGGCCTACTGATGTAGAAGCAGCTGCTGAAGACCCAGGGACCAGAGACGGATACCTTGTAGGACTTCTGGGTCACCCTGGTGAACATGGTAGGGGCAGGAGTGGAGGCAGATGGTCCAAACCAGGCAGAGATTTGAGAGGGAATAGAGAAGCTACATCTAGTCTAATTTTTAATTTTTTTTTGCCCAGGCTAGTCTCCATCTCCTGAGGTCAAGCAATCCTGCTTCGGCCTCCCAAAGTTCTGGGATTACAGGTGTGAGCCACTGCGCTCGGCAAAACTTTATTTTTAAGGTAGCTTGAGGACTTACGTCTGTTAGTACCTGGAGATTAACTTAAAAGTTATATCCAATGGAATTATTAAAAATTTAAAAATGTTAGTACATTTTTATGATCAAAATCCAAACAGTATAGAAATAGAAATAGAAAAAAAGTTGCTCCTTTTCCTACTAGTGTTCTCCTAGATGACCACTGTTAAGAGTTAGATGTTTATTCTTCTAAGCTTCATGCTAATAGATATAGATTGTTTTGTTTATCATTTTGGTATTTTATTCCTTTTTAAAAAGTTGTTTTTAGGTTGAGTGCAGTGGCTTACACCTGTAATCCCAGCACTTTGGGAGGCTGAGGCAGGAGGACCACATGAGCTTAGGAGTTCGAGACCAGCCTGGGCAACATGGTGAGACCTCATTTCTTTTTTCTTTTTTTTTTTTTGAGACCGAGTTTCGCTCTTGTCGCCCAGGCTGGAGTGCAATGGCATGATCTCGGCTCACCACAGCCTCCGCCTCCAAGGTTGAAGCAATTCTCCTGCCTCAGCCTCCCAAGTAACTGGGATTACAGGCATGTGCCACCATGCCTGGCTAAATTTTTTTGTAATTTTAGTAGAGACGGGGTTTCTCCATGTTGGTCAGGCTGGTCTCGAACTCCCGACCTCAGGTGATCCACCACTTCAGCCTCCTAAAGTACTGGGATTACAGTTGTGAGCCACCGCGCCTGGCCTGTGAGACCCCATTTCTATAAAAAATAAATTTTAAAAAAGCCAGTTATGGCTCTGGTCCCAGCTACTTCAGAGGTTGAGACAGGAGGATTACTTGTGCCCAGGAGGTTGAGAGAGGCTACAGTGAGCTATGTTTATGTCACTGCATTCCAGCCTGGGTGACAGAGTGAGACCCTGTCTCAGAAGAATAAAAAATTGTTTTGAATTTTGGTAAAATACACATAATATATATTTACCATCTTAACCATTTTTAAATGTGCAGTTCAGTAGTGTTAAGTATATTCACATTGTGCAGCCAATCTCCAGAACTTTTCTTCTTGCAGAACTGAAACTCTGTACCTATTAACTCTACATTTTCCCTAATGCCCTGGCCATCACCATTCTTCTTCCTTTCTGTCTCTATTATATTTTCTGTTCTAAGTACTTCATATAATAGAATCATGCAGTATTTGTCTCTTTGTGACTGGCTTATTTTATTTAGCATAATGTCCTCAAGCTTCATTCATGTTGTAGAAAATGTCAAAATTTGGAAAATGTAGAAAAAATTTTTTTCCGTCTTTTTGGGGGGACATGGGATGAAGACAGAGTCTCGCTCCATCACCCAGACTGGAGTGCAGCGACGCGATCTCGGTTCATTGCAACTTCCACCTCCCAGGTTCAAGTGATTCTTGTGCCTCAGCCTCCTGTGTGCTTGGACTACAGGTGTATGCCACCACACCTGGCTTATTTTTTCGTATATTTAGTAGAGACAAGGTTTCACTGTGTTAGCTAGGCTGGTCTTGGGACTCCTGGCCTCAGGTGATCCACCCGCCTCAGCCTTCCAAGTGCTGGGATTACAGGTATGAGCCATCATGCCCAGCCTCTTTCTTTGTGAGGCTGAATAATATTCCGTTGTATCCACATTTCACATTTTATTTGTCCATTGATGGACCATCTGGGTTGCTTCCATCTCTGCCTGTGGTGAGTAATATTGCTATGACCATGGGTATACAAATGTCTCTTTGAGAACATGCTTTCAGTTCTTTTGGATATATACCTAGATGTAGAATTGCTAGATCA